GCCCCTCAGCTCTAGTTCCCTTTCTCCTGCACCATCTTGTTTCCACGGAGTTGCCCAATCTTGCGAGCAGCAATAGGACCCACTTTGCGCCCTGCAGGGGCATCTCTGCGGATGGTTGAGGGTTTGCCAATATGCTGGTGGTTACCACCTCCAGAGGAATGCTCCACACCCCGTGCATGTGGCCAGCAGTTCCTCTTCACCTTGTATTTGTGGTAGGCTCAGCCAGCCTTCAAGATAGGTTTATCCCTTCTGCCACCACCAGCTGCTACACCAACAACAGCTCTGTTGGCAGAGAAGACGACCTTCTTAGAACCCGAGGGCAGCTTCACTCTTGGTTTCAGGGTTGTGGGATATGACTGGCATAGTTTCCAGAGGCTCGGGCCAGCTTACCCCAGTCCGCAGGCTTCTCCTCCAGGGCAGCACACGATGGTCCCCTCAGGCATGGTGCCCACAGGGAGAACATTGCCAATGTTGAGTTGGGCCTTCTTTCCACAATATACGAATAGGCCTGTTGTGGATTCCCTCGACGGCAATGAACAACTTGATATACTTCTTGAATCAGTACGGATCTCGGAAGACCACCTTGGTGAGGGGTGCACCACGGCCTGGGTCGTGGATGATGTCCTTCACGATGCCCTTGATGTAGCCGTGTTGTTCTGCAAAGTCCACAGAGCATAGACGAGCAGCACCCTTGCAATGTGTCACATGCGTGCAGAACACAGACCCAGCACCCTTTCTCTGTCCGTGGATCACACGGCCCATGACAGCGGGTCTGTTCCTGAGTGCAGCGAAACAGTAGTCAGTTGCCTTTTGAGAGACATTTTAGAGCCCTCTTCTCTTATTCAAAGCACATTTGTTGGAGTAGATCTGGATTAGTTTCTGTTCCTGGAAAATATGGCAGCCAGGGAGTTAAGTCCATACTTCTTTTCCTCTACTGTATGGTTGCTAACTGCTGCCAAGTGGATGTTGCTGACATTGAACAGGGACCCAAGAGGAATTCCAGTCCCCAGTTGTCCATCCATCCAATGGGAATTATGCGGCCATTGTGAAGTTAGGACAAGGGACATGAAATGACCAGAAGCAGAAAGCTCTGGAACTGCAGTCATTCCTGCAAAGTACCAGACTGCTTTTCCACATCACCCCATTGACTGCAGGGTCACTGTCACTACCACCTTTCAGAGATGAAGACCGTGAATCCCCAAGAGACTGTCTGCTTGAGGCCTATAAGCAGGCTGGGCGTGTCTCCTTTGAGGCCATCCTGGGCACTGAGGTCAAATGCAGACTCCTGCAGATGGGCCCTGGGGCACCCCTCGAGGGCCATGGTCCCTTTGAAGCATCTTCTAAAAGTAAAATTGCACTGGTCATTCTGTGTTGCTGGCAAACCCAGGAGGTGGGAGGAGGGGCCAAGCCTCTGGCTCCAGGCACTGGTGACCCGCCAGCAGAGGGAGGCAGAGGGCTGCAGACAGGAAGGTCGGGGTCAGCAGGGGGTCAGCAGGCCCTGCAGCTAGGGACTGGAGACAGCTCTCTGAACGTTACTACAGGACCAGAAGCTCTGACCAGTCTGGAGCAAATCCCCCAGAGGAGCAGCAGGACTGCAGGTCCTGCCTAGAGCCCTCCCTTTGGCCCTCGGCCCTCAGCCCTCTATGATGGCTGCCCCCTGGGAGCATGCCATGCCTCTGGCATCTGAGATGTATCTGAATGATGGAGAGGACTCCTTAGTGGTCGTTCCATAAGAAAAAGGCCCAATGACCCCAGGAAGGGAGAACTGGGGGAGAAGATAATCACCCTGTAATTAAGCAAATTATTTCAGGAGGGGCTTTAGATCCTTCCTTAGAATGCAGAGATCCTCTCTCCTGAGGGCTCAGAGGGATCTCTACACTATCTCGGCAGAATTCTGCCTGCCAGTTATAGGAAGCTGGGGATCTGCAGATTGGACCTATAGGAGCCCCAAGGCTTGGAGGAAAGACAGGAGGGGCAGTAGCATGACTGGATTTGTATACAAGGAAAAAAAATTCCACAAGTACCACCTGCAGGGTCCTCTCTGTTTATAGGTTTGTGTGCACATGTGTGGTACCCACGTAGCCCAGTGGACTGGTGATGGGGCAGGGTGGGCTGTGCAGACGCATAGGAGACCACCCCTTGTCTGTATGAGTTTTAAAGTGACGGTACCATTTTTTGTGACACTAATACTTATGAAGTAAAGTATTAGGACCAGGCACAGGAGGGAGCTGTGCCATACCACCCGCAGGCCCCACTCCTTCCTCTGAGAAACAAACTTCCTCCACACAGTCCACGGCCAGGCTGACCAAAAACCTGGAATGCAGCCTTCTTTTATTTTTTAGCCTCCTATCCTTTAGCTGCAACAAAGGAGGGTGAAACTAGAAAGAAATAAAAATATCGGGAGGGGCCGGGGAGATGGCTCAGTGGAATAAGCACTTCCCTGGCAAGCGCAAGGACCTGAGTTCAATCCCCGGTTCCG